CCTCCTCTTACATTGGATAGTCTTAGTTTAAGTATCGGATGTTGTGGAATATATCTGAATGAGAATCTGCTTGAAGCATTCCTTCTTTATAGGTATTAATGCTCTCTGTCAGTTTAATTCTTTTGTGATTTCGTTGATCACATATGTTCTGTTTACTGCTTCGTTGCTTGGACAACTTCTGGAGTCCTTGTAGCTTCCGAGCTGGAATACTCGGAATGACATGCCACATATAGTATGGATCTAGCCTACTAAAGCCCTAGTTGTTTATGTAGCCAATGGGTGAACAAATTTAAGGGAATGATGTGGAATTTCCACCTTCTCCTCTTTCTCTTGGTCTGCATCTTTTGATACTTGAAGCTCTTTCATGATGCCTTACAAGGATTCACCCTTGATCAGCTCCGTCTCAAATGGGGTAAAAAGCTTGCCTTGTATTAAATAAGAAAAAAAAGAAGTAAAGCGACCTTCTATTACAATTAGCATGCTGAGATTCTCTGACTTTTACCGTGCAGCTTTGCATCATTACAGCAAGTAATTGTGTAACTTGTCTGTAGGGGCATCCTTAATAAGATTTTATTTTTTCCACTGTTTTTATTACTAAACTTCCGCATTACATCCTTTTGTTTTCCTTTTATTATTGCTTCTATATTTTCCCTAAACCAACTCTTGACCTCCTTAATTTACTAAACAGGATATTGTCATGTATGTCAACTCTCCAGGAGGGTCAGTTACAGCAGGTACTTTCAAGTGTTCCCAATCAAGCTCATTTGTTATTATCTACTTTTGTAACCTAAGTTGCTCGGACTCTTCACTTTCAATGCCGCACCCGTGTCGACACGACGTGGGTGTGGGTATGGGTGTGGGATCCGTGTTGGATCTGATCAACCGATTTTGGGTACTTTGACCAAAATCAACGGAGAAATTTGGGACAGATACAATGATTTTTGAAAACAAATCAAAAGCTAGGGTGATATGGAAGAAAATGGAATACACTGTATATATAAATTTCTATGTCAGTCCTTTTCCTTTTATCTCCTTCTAAAATTCTACTCTTGTTCAATATTTTCTCCTTCTCGGAATACCTTGTAAGTTTTCCACATAATGCCTCATAATTTAGACATATTTTTATAACTCTATTTTTAAATAATTGAATTATTTTTAGCCGAATCCCCGCACCCGTATCCGTACCTGGATCTGTACCCCCGAATCTTTAAATTTAGATCATGAAGGATCTGACCTCTAGATTCGCACCCGTATCGGACACCCGCACCCAAGTCCGAGGCTCCGAGCAACTTAGTCTGTAACTATTGTAACTTCTAGCTTATGTTGCATAGAGTTGGACTATGGCACCATCTTAACGTGCTGTTTTATTTCATGATTCATCAAGTTTCATCCATATTTTATTATATCAGGAATGGCCATTTTTGATACCATGCGGCATATTCGGCCTGATGTCTCCACCGTTTGTGTTGGACTCGCTGCGAGGTGCTGAGTTGATTTGCTTTACTTTTGTACTTTATGTATCTTTTTTTAGAATATGATTTTTTCCGTCCCTATTGCTTAACATAATATGCATATTCTCCCTTATTATCCTTTAGTTTTTGGTATTGCACCTGAATTTGGTATCCTTGACCACTGCCAGAATCTTGTGGTAAAATTGGAATCAACTCTTAAACCCAATGTTACACTCCCTTTATGTATTACCTCTCACCCTTCTTTGCTGCTGCTAGTCAAAGTTAAGAGTACCACTGGACATAGTACCGCTGTTTCAATGGTTAAATATGGTCGTGGTATTTTGTCAGATTTAGCTCTATTATTTAAATATGATATATAAACTTATACATCTCCAAAATAATTTAATCATAATTCATCACATTATATAAAGTCTCACATGCAATCAACTAACTTAACAGGTGATATGCAATGACTAAGGGCGTGTTGGATATGAAGGAAAATATTTTTTAATTTTTCCATTTTTGGTTGACTTGAATGTTCTGAAAAATATTTTCATTATGACTTCCTTACCTAGAAGAGAAAAAATATTTTTCAAAACTCTCTTTCAATCTTCCCCAACTCCCCCCACCCCTCCTTTGCTCGCCCTCAGACCTCGAGACCCATAACCTAAACCTAAAGGTCAAGGGGTTGGGGTCCGAGGTTAGGATTGGGGTAAGGGTTGGGATCCGTGTCGGGGTTAATGTTGGGGATCAAGGTTCTGGGTCGAGTTCCGGTTCGGGATTGGAGTTGGGAACGAGATTGGAGGTTGGGGTCAGGGTTTGAGTCGGGATCGGGATTGAGGTTTGGGGTCGACTGTCGGATTAAAGATTCAGGGTTGCGGTTGGGATCAGGGTCAGGGATCATGGGTCGAAGTTGGGATCAAAGTTCGAGGTCGGGGTCAGTATTTAGGGTCGGGACACAGTGTTTGGGGTCGGGATTGATATCAGGGTCGGGGGTCGGTGTTTTGGGGTATGGGGGCGAGGTTTTCGTACCCCGATCCCGGTCCCAAATCCAATCTCGAACCCCTACCCCAAACCCTAACCTTAAACCTGAACCCAGACCCCAAACCCTGACCTTGAACCCGAACCCCGGTCATTGATCCCAATCCTGACCCCCGTCACTGATCCAGAGACTCAAACCTGACCCCCATCATCGTTTGTGACGTCGAACCCTGACCCTGAACCCTGACCACGAACCTTGTTTCCGACCCCTATTACCGATTCCGTACCCCGACCCTCATTGCCGATCCTTACCCGACCTTGAACCCCTATCTGACCTAGACCCTTTCTCTCGACCTCAACCTTGGACCCAGACCCCCACCGCTCCGCTCCCCCCGCCCTCACCCATTTAGTCTCTTATAGTGTGTGCCTATATTATATATTTTCCAAACAATACTTTCTTCTAAATAACCAAACACCAGAAAATAAGAAAAACACTTATTTTTCAAAAAAATATTTTCCAGAAAAACATTTTCCTACATACCAAACACACCCTAGGTTAAAATTAGTTTAGGTTGAAGGCAAAATGAAGTACCAAATCTAGAAACTTATTTAATAAATCATAGAGATATTTAGGCTCACAGGTGAAACGAAATTTAAAAAAAAATATTAAGTAAAGTAACAAAAATCAACAGTTATTTCACCAAAGCCAAGAAAAATTCTCAAAGATATGACCTTCAATTTCAATTTCCTGATTTATTCTCTTTAAACCAAGATTAGCTCTAAAATTGTCTGAGCCTCAAGACCTCACCCGGTTGATTTCAGTTCCACCAGAGATCTCCTGACATAAAATCAAATGATCATGGTAACTTCTTTTGCTTGGTACAAGAGGTTCCTCCAGCAACTGTGATATTGATAACTCGAGCTCTTGTTCCCCGTCACCTCAGCCTGCCAATGTATCTTCCCATCTGGGGAAGTTGCAGGAGAGGATGGTGGATTTGTTGGTTTCAGTTTGTTCAACTGTGATAAAATGCATATATTATGGTTTTGTTGATTCATTTCACTTTACTTTTGCTTGAACTTTGACTAGCTTCTAATCCTTTTATACTAGTATCAATTAGCTTGGCATCTTTTAGGGAAGGCAGAGGCGCAGTGTGGGGCAGGTGTGGGTTGTGCTCAACCCGCAAAAAATTTCAACCCACCACAACCTACTCCGCGTAGAATTTTTCTGTGATTTCAACCCGCACCGCCTCACCCCGCATAAACCCACGCTGGCTCGCCCTGCTTAAATTTTTTTTTTCTTCTCTAATTTGTTATTTACATATGAGTAGTTTACTGTGAGTATTATGTATTTGAAAGGCTAACCTTTTAGGAACGGAATTATTATTTTGGTATAAACTAAAGTTATAAAGTGGGTCTTGTATTTAAGAGTGAACAGACTTTGTCTTCAGTGGAAACTTTTTACATGATCAAATTGAACTAGAGATGAAATTGTTTTTAACCTACTTTTATTTATGCCATTTGATGACAAAGTTTAAACATACATGATCGAAGTATCAGAGAAAGAGATAAGTCAGATATTTTTACGACGTTTCGACATAAATGTAATAATTCAGATCTTTGCGAAAATCAGAAAAGAGTTGGAAATTCAAATTGTATTCATCTACTGAGGGAATATGTGGAAAAATATGCAATTTTGTTTTATTTCTTATTCAGTAAAAAATAGAGAAGAAAACTGTACTAACAAAGTAAAATTGGATTCTAATTTACATTCAACATAGTGTTTCCAATTAGTTATGATTAAGAACTTTTATGTTCAACATATTGTTTCCAGTTAGTTCTCATTTAACAGCTTGTAACTTGTAAGCATATTCTCAAATTTAACTATTTGGTTCTTTTTTAATTTGTTTTATTAAAATTAACAAAAATAAATTAGCTTCTTACTCAATTGGTTAACTATGTAAAATATTAAGAATATGTTAAAATTAAATCACATTATTATTTTATTTGAACTACTTGAAGCTGTGTAAACTACTTTTATTTTGAAAGAGGAAGGAGAATAATTTTTTGACATCGGGAAATATTTTACTGAATCCATCAATATGTCGTTTTGCCGTTTTGGTTTCGGTTCTGGAACCATACTTTAATTATAATTGTTGACTAACAACAAATCATATTCATGCCCCTGGGTCAAAAGTTCGAGGCTGGAGGTTGCCAACCAAAAACAAATCCTAAAATGGTTGAGAATATAAAACTCAAAAGCTGTAAAAAGATTGTTTTCTCACATGTAAGAGTTCTCTCAAATGGATCTTCCCAAAGCCCAGACATGTCAGCTGTGAGGTGAAATTTCAGCAATTTGTTTCAACCGCAACCTGCCCCACCCCGTTTTCGATTTCAAAAATATTTCTTTGAACCCACCCCGTCCCGTTGCCATCCCTATTTAAACACTAAACTAGCGTACAAAGTGGAAGCACAGTCCACGTAAGCTCTGGGTAAGTTGGTGCGATTTGCTGGTTGTTTTGGACTTATTCGGATGGGAGAGGATGAGGGGCTGGGTAAAAAAGAAGTGGGGCTAGGAGTAGCAATGGCTAGAACGGAATATTAGGCTATTTACTCATCATATATAATAGCTTCTCCTTCCTCTGATGCCAGCGATCAGAGAGTAGAAGTTCAAATAGCTGCATCTATGCTTAAAAGTTTTCTTTCTGACCATAAATGACGTTAAAAGGAAGTACTAATACATTGGGACAATTTGAACTTTAGGATGCTAGTCAAGAAATGTGATAGGAAGAATTCAAGAGTTGGGCTTGGGTACCACCGAGCACATGTAGTGCTTGATAATGTTCATTTTTTATTGGCTCCACCACATCTTATTTGTAAACAAGGATGGCCTTGTGGAAGTTGCATGCACTAAGTTTATATTACAAAGTTTGTAGCAAATGCACTTGGAATCAGTTTGATTGATTGAGTATTTAAAGTGGAGACTTTAAATTAGTTTCTATTTTCTATAAATAACTGGCAGTTGAAATTTTCCTTGTTTACGGATGTGTTGCTGTCTTAATTAGTTTTAAAATTTAAAAGTTGTCTAAATTAGTTAATCGACTTTGCAGTATGGGGGCTTTTCTTCTTAGCGCTGGCACCAAAGGTAAATTGAATTTCTCATTCATGGATGAAGAGTCTTTCTTCATGCTGAATATCACTGTGTTCTGAACTCGTGACATTGTTTTCCCATGAAGGTAAGAGATATAGCCTGCCAAACTCGAGGATAATGATTCACCAACCTCTTGGTGGTGCACAAGGCGGGCAAACTGATATAGACATTCAGGTAAACATAATCTCTTTCATTCAACACTATCCTATTTCAGAATGTTACCTCTAGAACGCAACATTTCGGAGACATGTGGTTATATGGTCCTGGGTCTGACTTCTGAATCTCCATCCTCTAAAAGGGAAAAAAATTCCCCTCCGTTTCTACTCTATTTCTCTCTTTTTCATACTTTCTCTTTTCCAAACATCATGCAATATCAGTTTTCTAATTTGGAACTTTACGACATTATCAGAAGAAGTTGTCAAATGCACTTATATGACTGATGAGTTCAAATCTTCAAAGAGTTGAATTTTATCTACAATTTTAGGCAAATCTAAATATCTAACAAATTTCAGTGATCCCTCAACACCCATGTCGACACAAAGTACATAAATGTGTACACAGATCAGTGACTGGCCATGGGGTAACCAATAAGCAGTAAGAGAAAAGGCAACACTTAACTTAAAAAAAGAAGAGCGGAGGGGAGGAAAAACTCAAGACTATGGAAAAAATAGATACTTGGCCTAGTTATAATGCTATATACTTGAAGCTATTATGTTACAAAATTGTTGTCAGGATCAAAATCAATAGTTTTAATTTTTTTGCTGCATGCTCTGTTAACCATGTTGATCAAATCCATGGACAATATGCTATTACTGTATTGTGAGCTACACAACAGTGAAGCTATGACATAGAGAGGCTATGGATAATATAAACTCATAGGCGAAGCTCAAGCTTTTAGGGCTTAAGCTATGGTCTGGACCAACTTTCACATTTCATGTGTTTCCATCTGTGAACCCCAAATTCTTCCCCTTAATGTTGGTTTGCTTGAGTATTGAACTTTTATTCTGGATTATTAGATTCTGTTTTATAACTTGCCTTTTAGACTTGAAAATGGGCGTTCTCAAAATTTTACTGCAAGAAGTCCTTTTAACAATATAATTTGTACAATATACTGACAAAAGGTAAATTCATGTACAGCAATTGACGATAGAATATTGATGGAAATTTTGAATTTTTATTTCATTTTGAAAATGTCCGAACAGCTGGTAACATGGACAACTTTTGGTGCTGAAATGATTCCATAAAGTTTTTGAACCCAAACCTTATGTATTTTGCCATTCAATCCCATTGGAAGCTTAAGTTTCCAGCTTGTGGGTGCAAGTTGATCAAGGATCATCTCATTTTCTTCTCGCACTCTGGTGCAGTAAACGCATTTCAGCTTCTCATCAATGAGCAAGCAACTTGAGATGATCTAATGTCAAATCCTATATTTTCATGGTACATTCTATTACATTATTTTCTTAGCATGTGGTTAGTTTGGCAAAATGGAACACCTGCACCTAAACTAATGCTTGTACCGATTTCCAGGCTAATGAGATGTTGCATCACAAAGCAAATCTGAATGGGTACCTTGCCTACCATACTGGTCAAAGCCTTGAGAAGATCAACCAAGATACTGATCGTGATTTTTTCATGAGTGCAAAGGAAGCTAAAGAGTATGGGCTTATTGATGGAGTCATCTTGAACCCCATGAAAGCCCTTCAACCATTAGCAGCAGCTGCTGAACAATAGTAGTTGAATTTTATCTCAAGATGTCGAATTTCTTCTTACACTTTGGCGATGTTACTGGTAGACATGGTTAGAGAGATCACCATTGATTAGTAAGTTCTACATTGAGCCTGTATTGCAGCTGCAAAAAGCTATTGTATACGAAATGTGAAACGCTTCAGAAATCCTCTTCATGTCTTTTTTTTCTGGGGAGGAGTTATCTTTTCCCCTTGTTGTTTCTACGTCTGTGTTTAATTTCGAGTTGTATCTGTCTTCACAGCTTTCCCTAACATTTGTCTGCATGGTGTGTGTATAATAGACATTCATTCACGTGTTGAAGATTACAAGAGTAGCTTGTTTCCTGGCCTAACTCGACCATGTACATTTTAAACGAGGCAAGTAACGAGTTGGCGAAGTGCACGGATATTCATTGTTTGAGCTACTATTTAAGTTTCAACAAGGGTTGGTAAATTATTTAAATTTTAAAGCTTAGCCAATTACATAAAATAAAATAAAAAAAGGACAACTCGCTTCTCTTCTTCTCTTTCTCGCTTCTTCTGTTTTTCCTTTTGTCTTTTTCTTGAACATCACATAACATTTCTGCCAAAGAACTTATTCCCTTTTTTCAGTAATTCAAAAATTGACACAACTTCATTCATATACACCTTAAACAATGACAGTTTTTGTTGTCTCTCTCATCGCAAAGACCCAAACTCAATTAGACTCCTCTTCCAGTCACAACGAAAGCTTGAAAATATTGACTTTAATTACCCTGCACAATAAACATATGCTTACAAGCTTAAAATATATCGTTTGAACTTCATGACACAATATCCTGAAATTTTGAACTGAAAAGTTAAATTTCAGGACATAGCACCCTGAAGTTTAAACTGAAAAAACTGAACTTAAAAGATACAATGTCCTGAAGTTTTAAGCTGAAAATCTGAATTTCAGGATACAATATCCTAAAATTTTGAACTAAAAATTGAACTTAGGATGCTTATAGTGTCCTGGAGTTTTGAACTAAAAAATCGAACTTCAGGATACGACCGTCCTATAGTTTTGAACTGAAAAATTGAATTTCAAAACACAAAGAAGAAGCAATATCCACCTATTTTTTTTAATTGTGGCTAAACACTAAATAATTTGCAAGTACCGGATAAAACTTAAATAGCAGTAAAAAAAAGGCTACCGGGTGACATTTCCACGTAATGATTGCACGTTGGACTTGAACCTGAACGTTCTTGGGCGAAGTGCAGTAATAGCCACTATTAAGCCCGCTATTTAAAATATATTTATAATTTATAATGTATTTAAAGATTAGCTAATTCACCCAAACTTCAGGACTAAGTATCCTGAATTTGAAAATTTAGGACTTAGTGTCCTGAATTTTTGAGCTGCTAATTTGAAATTCAGGACTAAGTGTCCTGAATTTTTGAACTACTAATTTAAAATTTAGGACATAAGATTCGAACTTTAGGACATGATGTCCTGAAGTTTGAATTTTGAGGTTTAAACTATACCTGTTAATCGGGCCTGGCTGACCCGTTTACAACCCGGTTCAGCCCGGGTCAGCCCGGTAGTGTAGCGTGGGGGGCGGGCTGGGATGGGTTGGGCGGGGAGCGGGTTTCAAACGAACAGTTTTTTGATATCGGTGCACCGGAACCCGCTAAGCCCGTTAACGGGCTACAGCCCGGTTCAGCCAGTTTTTTAACGTTTTTTTTTTTACCGTTGCCAACGGTCAAATTAAAATATTACAAATTATCCTACTATTGCAAATGGTTTAGTTCATATTGCTCAAATTTCTCTTTTACTACATAATTTGAAGAAGAAAGAAGGATATACTTCTGTTGTTGAATCTATACTAGATAAGTTTAAAAACTATTTCTACCTAATTCCCCCTATTTACCTAATTGGTGCTATTTTAAACCCTTCTATCAAAATGGCCACTTGTCGCCAATTAATCACTACTTTATATTCTTATATGGATATTGGACCAACTGAAACTCCTGATATTGATACTTGTATTTCTGCTCTACACAAACATTTAGAAACATTATATAATTATTATGCTAACATTGTTAATGCTTCTTCTGTTGTGGATGCAAATATTCCTTCTTCTGTAGCAACGCTTTGGAAATTCTAGTGTGCTTCAGAGATTGGATAAGATCAGAACGGCGAAATCAAGGGCGTGACGAGGTAGATGAAGCGGAGGACCAAGAAATTAGAGATATAATGGTTTATGGTTCTGATTTAACCAATGCCGGAAAACCAAGAACCTCATGCTGACATGGATGAACTTACAAAAATGTGCAAAGCATGCGATGTACTATTTATTTTTTTTTTTATAATTATTGTAAACTTTTAATTTGCAAGTTCAAAAATAACAAAATCAAAAAAGAACTTGCAACTTAATTTAAAGTATTATATATTATTCAATAAAAATATCAAATGAAAGTCTTCGGAGCTTGATCCTTACATATTGCCTATTAGTCTTATTAAATAATTTTTTGTAGCCACTTACTTTCAACTTTCAATTTTAAAATTATAAAATTTAAATTTCAAATTTAAAACTTTAAACTTCAAAGTTTAATCCTAAGCCTTAAAAGTTTGCAAACACTTAAGTATCAATAACATTGAATAAGAAAAATAAAATTTATTTTAAAAAAAAATACACGGCCCCGCTAACAGCCTTCTAAGCCCGAACCCGGACGGACAAAAAAATCTCCGAAAAAGTACAGCCCGCTAATAGCCCGCAACGTTAAACGGACGGGCTATTTTTTTGTGTCCAGCCCATCCCAGCCTGCCCTTTAAACACCCATAGTTTAAACTCTAGGACGCCGTGTCCTGAAGTTTGAGCAAAATTGACTAATCTTTAAATATATTATAAACCGTGGATATATTTTAAATAACATGTTTAAAATGACTACCCGGTGTCAACCTAATCTAGGCCTTTCAGCAAAATACATAGAGTGCTAATGTATAGCTCAAAATAATCAGAGTTTAAAGTTGGGAATCTTACCTAAATGTCCTACATGAGTTCCAACTTACCAACTTCTAGCCATTAATCATAAACTTATCAAAACTAGCCATTAATCATAAACTTACCAAAACTAGCTAAGCACATATAAAAATTAAAAACTTAAATAAATAAGGTTCTTTCTCTCCAAGAATCACACGCAAAGACCTCCTTCCATATTTTTAAGCGCAATCAGCAACATTAGATAAAAGACGGAAAGAAATTTTTATGGATGAGGTAGCAAACAAGATAATGAAATATATATA